CAAATTATGAAAGATAAACATCTATTAGACTGCTAATATTACAATAATAGTAAATAAGTATAAACTGACTACTAGTTAAATTCGTTTTCAGAATCTCTATCATATTGTATACCCATTATACACCCATTAAAAAAATGCTTTAAAACCTATCAATGTAAGCATAGACTCTAGTTCTTATCCATGCAGTTATTCAATTTTAATAAAACTGTACATGCGATAATTACTTTCAATCTGAATTCTGAATTGAACCAGTGTTGTTTCGACGTCAAGGCAGGTTATATAAAAGCTGACTAGAACGAATTGTAAATTTTTTGAAAAGAAAAAGAAAAAACAAAACCAAGAACAGCAGAGTTCAAGAACAAAGACTGTGCCTGTGCTACAATAATGATATGCCAGAGAGCAGCTCATAGAAAATTGAGTCAAATGAAACAAACAGCATGCAAATTGTGTAGGTCAGTCACAGAGCCACGGAGATAGAAAGAGAGAGAGAGAGAGAGAGAGAGAGAGAGAGAGAGAGACTCTGCTGGCAGCAATTCTTGCTGCGTATATAACTCTATTTGGCTGTCGGTTATCACTGGCAGCCATCGAGCGGCGCCGCAGCTGCTGGCAAGAAAAGCATCTGAATACAGTTGAATGCGAATAGCAGCAACAGCAATAGCAACAGCAACAGTAGCAACGGTAAGGCAAATAAACAAACGAAAACACACACACACACGCACAGAGGGAATGGGAATCGAGTACGTATACATATGTATAAACAGTCGAGTGTAAGCACAGCAACTTGAAAATTGAGCTGACAACAAACCCAAATTGTATTTAAAGAATATGCACATAACTAAAGCTGAGTATCCATAGATACATATGTATACACATATCGTGCGCTACGTACAATATAATAGTCGCCATTGTACACCAAATATATGCACATATTTGAGCACAATACACAGCCAGGGCTATGAATGCGGATTATAATGGCGCCATCGAAGCAACCAAGTGCTAAGGACACGCGGCAACAAGCGACAAACGATGCCTGTGTATCTTTATCTGTGTCTGTATCTGTATCTCTATCGGTATCTATATCTGCACTTTGCATATGACAAATTATGCACACAATAATCGAGGCAGGGGCATCTAACTGTTAGCAGCAACAGCAACAGCTTGCTTTAAGGGGCATGCCACAAAATGTGTATTGGCAATGGACTTGAATTAATTACAAAAGGAAAAACAACGAGTTTCCTAATCATAATTCAAATTTAATATCGACCTAAAGGGCTTGCTGCTGATGTGGATTGAAGGACTCGGTATATTTTGGGGATATCAAGTAAGGGTGACTCGTGTTGGTAGCTGTTCTAATCCCACATGATTTATAATTAATAGAAATGCAAAACCAACTGGTTAAAACAATGCATAATGCATAATACATGGCTAATATTTAAATAGGCCATTGTGCCAGTGACGCGTGTTAGATTTATGGCCAAATGCGGCCAATTTGGAATTTATTGAATGCGGCCGACACTGCGTATTCGCAATATAATTTAACTTTATGCCTTATGAACATCGTTTTAAAGCTGCGGCCTTCACATGGCATCCTTAATCTCTGTGCAAACGCATAAAATGCAGCCAGTTCCTCGACATTGCAGTGGACCTATGCAGAAAAATAAGAGTTTGCATTGAATATAGACAAATTTTGATTGAAAACAGAATATTATCTATTCTAAGCCGCAGAATCCGTTCTTTCTATGGCGCATTAGCACATAAAAAATGGAGGCTGACAGCCATAGAATACTCTGTTTGGCAAGGGTACACAATCTATGCTAAACAACATTACTTCCGCTTTTCTTGCTGTTAATATATTCTATGTTTGGAAACTAGAAGAAATATGTAAGACTCCATATTAAACTGACCCTGATCATATTTTCATTGTACTTCATTTAGACGCATTGCTATTGGCCAGCTATGTACAGCTCTGAACAGTAAAATAACACCACTTAAATATGAAAAGTCTAAAAAGTTTTTCTATATATTGTTTACCAATGTATTGATATACTTATTTGTTTTTTTTTTTTTTTATTATTATTATTATTTTTTTTAGCAGAAGACAATCAATTATTGCAACCATTAACAATTATCATTAAAATATTCAACGTTTTTGTATATCTATAAAAAAATTCTCAAAAAAGTCGAAAAATACAAGTCGTGCTATTTTATTTCTGTACATATATTCTATAATATAAGCATCTGATCATGCGCTTTAAGTAATTATTTCATCAGTCTTATACGAGTGAGCTGCATCAGCTTAAAGATGGAGCAACATAACCATAAGTGAATCATATATTGGAGTCTTTGTAGTTTCGCATTTTCATGCATTGACAATATTTTAAAACTTTTCCATATCGAATGCTTTTTGCTCTCTCTCAATTTATTTTCACGCTGTGCGCTCTCAAGTGAGGTTATGTGTTGTGAAATTCGCACTGCAGCGACAAAGCAAAAACAACAACAACAACATTAACTAATATTCAGATCATATACAAATGTATAAAACACAGCCACAACAACAACTGCGTCTCGAATTCTAGCAAAACAAAAGCCCTGACAGCAACGATAATAGCATTGTTGTTGTTGTTGTTGCTGCTGCTGTTGTCGCTCTTTGTTGGTCTGCTAAGGAAATTACTCAGTAAAAATTCAACAGCAGCATCAGCAACGACAACAAACACATGTTAAATATACTAGTCATATACATAAATATTGCTAATGAATTTCCCGCACGCTTTGCTGAGCTCAGAGCCAGAGTCAGAGTTGAAGTCAAAGCCAGAGCCAGCCGAGTCGCGTCTCTCTAATCGACATCCATTTTGCATTGTTTTTGTATTTCTGTATTGTTTTCCTCTGTTAATTTTTGGTGTTTTTTCTTCCATACATTTCTAAAATGGAACCGGGGAACGGAAACTGGGTGCGTTTTTTGTTGAGGCTGGCGCAAAACAAATATAATTAAATGTAATTTTTATAATGACAAATGCGTTTTATTGTTCGCTGTTGCCCTAAACCGAAAGACAAAGCTCGGCCACGCCTCTCAAATCTACCAAATAGGGGCTCAATATCACGAAGGCAATTTTCAATTTCTTGCTCTCGCTTTGAACTTTCAGCTTTGAGATTTAACTGTCGCCACTTAAGAGTTGCCCGCGCGTCGAGCTACATAATTACCCCACGATTCCTGCTCGACTTGAATTGGGTCAGCTGCAGGCTGGGAACGCCCCCTGCGAATGGCGCTGTCTTCAAATGGAAATTGACTGGCTGACTAGCTGCTCCAAATAGTAGATCTATTGTAATATATACAGTCTGTTGTGTAAGGCAACACACGCTAATCGATGCACGCCCACGTTTCGTCATCATAATGATCGTCATCATCAAGCTGATTGTATAGGCGGATGCTGCCATAAAAAATAAAGATGATTTTGGGCCGCGAATCTCACTTGTTAGCAATTGCCCATTGCCAATTGCAACAGCAACAGCAACAGCAGCTGCAACAGCAACAATTAGAATTGCTAATGGTCACAGATAAACGCAAGTGCACGTTACTGGGATGCCCGCCCACGTGATCAGCTCTCGCTGTTGTTGT